AGTAGCAGCCACGTTAACCTTGGATACGACTGCAACAATAACATTATCCGCCTCAACCAAATTGACATTCGGCTTAGTAGGTTGTCGTTCTGCTTTCGGTGTCGGCATTCTTGAGCATAACGTCCTGCTTTTCCACAAACAAAATAATTACCTTTCTTCTTAAAACTAGAACCTTGAGCCTTATGAAGATTTTTTCCATTGTGATTTCTTTTCTTATGCTTATATTGAGGCTTATTCGTAGTCTCCACAACATTGGCCTTAGAGACATTTTCCTTGGCCTTTTCAATTTTATTTTTCAAATGATTTTTCTTCTCAATCCTAATATGGATAATCACATCTTCCAATGACATATCATTTCTTTTATGTTTAAGATTGTTCTTGTAAACTTTTCAAAAATTGGGTAATTTTTCAATCAAAGCACTGGCTACGAATGACTTGGGCAAAATAATTTTCTCATTCCTTGATGCATTAATAATCAAATGATACTCATGAATTTGAGAAGACACATCCTTCTCCTCAACCATCTTATAGTCTAAGAAATTTTTTATTGCATATTTTTTAATCTCCACATCTTCGACAATATACTTTTTACCAAACTATCACAAATCTCTCTAACATGCTTATAATGATAATAAACATCAAACAATTCATTTGATAAAACATTTAAGATAATATTCCAACAAACCTTATCAACGTTTTCCCAATTTTTTTTTCTCTTACATAATTTTTTATATCTTCTTCGAGTTTTAAATCAGTCAAAACAAATGTAACACATGATATATCAAGTAACATCATAATTCTTTGTTGCCAACGCTTAAAATTAGACCTATTAAAAGGCTCAATTTTTGTCACATCAGGAATGATCTTGTTTATAATTGTAGCATCCATATTCATTCTATTCTTAAGATTATTATGAAAATATAAATTCAAGAATGTTAAAAATCAGATGATAAACAAGACAAGAAAATTTATCGATAGAGGCGTGTAGTCATTATCCTTAAGAATAGATTTTTGCTCCTATGAGTATGAAACCCGGTACAACAGGTTGTGGTGTCATATCCTCCTGAATTCAACTATCGTTTCTCCACAAACATGTACTCGCAAATGTAGAAGTGTCACGAATAACTATTGATCATTCTCAAATGAATACCAAGATTCAAATAGTAATATATTATAAAATATATCAAAATTTGGTTCTACCAATTTGATAAACAACTCAAGGAAATCCACTATGTATGAAAACTCACTACACAAGAAAACTCACCTTCTTACTTTCCGCTTTGTTTTTTATTATTTTTTTCTCTTTTCATACACTAGCTCTAGATATGTCTGAACAATAGACTTTAAATAGTATCTGAAAAGTTGCAGAACAGAGGGATGCATTGTTTGGCATCCAACGGTCAATTGCAAAATTCAATAGTTAGTAACCCACTGTCAAAGCATTTGAAAATTCATTTCCTATGTAATATAAGAAATTAATGCAATATAAGTAATAAAATAAATGGTCATAACGTGTATTGTTTAAGTCATCCAATAGGTCTAACAATAATTTTAAATAAAAAAAAATTAACTTATATTTCTATACACATATATTTGTTAGAAATAAATAAATATATATTATATTTTGAAATATATATTAAATACAACACTTTTTGTGGCTGGTCCAAAGTGATAGAACTCTGTCAAATCTATTAAGAACTACTAGAAATATGATTACAGAGGCAAACTGTGAGAGGTGTAAAGAGTACATTGAGACTACCTTACACATACCGAGGGACTGCTCCAAATCTCAGTTGGTTTGGAGTGACTTTCTAAGTTGCCAAGAGAGACATGTTGATAGATCCTCTAATCTTCATGGTTGGATTGACTGGAATTATAAAGATAGAAAGCAAAAAAATTAGAGAGGTGTGCCTTGGCCAATTTTGTTCACTTCTATTATCTGGAGCATCTAGAAGGATAGAAATAGGGAGACCATTGAAGCCGATTCTACCAATCATAAGTTGGTGGCCAAGGTAGCTTGGTTACTTGCTTGTGACTCCTTTAATGCTTTCAATTGACCAGACCTTACTCAAATTACCAAACTAGCTAGACTGATTAATTGGTTGTTTCCACATGCAGATTTGAACAAGTTGAATACTGATGGATGCTCTTAAAAAAACCCTTCAGGAACGATCAAGGTAGATGGTTTCTTGGATATTATGGAAGAGTGAATGATACTACAAGCATTCAAGTTGAACTCCAGGTTATTTACACTATTTACAGAGGAATAAGAGCAGGAGAATCAACCATGTGGTAGTGGAGACAGACTCACTCGAGGCATCGGGTCTCCTCAATAGCCCCCTAGAAGAGACTAATAGCCAGATGCAAGCAACTGATGGCTACAAGTGATATTCCTATCATTCACAGCCTTAGAAAGGGGAACCAATGTGTTGTGCTAGACCATCCGCCTCCTCACCTCGGATACCTGCTTAATGCAAATCTTGCTAGTATTTCTTTCCGTAATAAAAACTCTGTTTAGTTTTTAACCTCTTTTTTTGTTTTTTTTGAATAAAGTTTTTAACCTTTCTAATGTACCAAAAAAGAAAAAGAAAAAAAAAGAGGTGTATCATAGACATGATCAAATGTATTGTTATGGTACGGTGATAACATATGTCAAGAATGACATAATATCACTATATTTATATCTATATATTACTAATAAAAGAACTTTAAATGAAAAAATTTTGATTCATTATTTTACGTTCATAAAAAATTCTAAATATCACACTCTCTTTCCATAGTTAAGTATCTAAATTACAATTACATCCTTATATATTTAAATTTTTAAATTAACCTCTATTATCTCTTTTAATTCTCTATTATCTTTGTATAAATATCAATATTTTTGAAAAAATTAATTAACTACGTTACTCTTAAAAAAATATATGCATCATTATAATTTTTAATAAAGTGTTCAAAAACTTCATCAATATTTTATTACTTTTTTCAAATATAAAGATAACATTATTTCTATATATATGTATTTTTTTTCCCATCTATACTATTAATAAAGAATGAAACTTTTGTCTTAGCATGAAAAATGTTTTGATTCACTATTTTAATCTTATAAAAAATTTTAAATACCACACTATCCTTCCGTAGCTAAATATATATTTATATGTTTAAATCTCTAAATTATCCCTAACATCTCTTTTTATTCTTTATTTACTATGTATAAATTTCAGTATCTATGAAATTTTTTAATTGGCTACGTTACCTTTAAAAAATTTATGCATCACTATAATTTTCGATAAAACGTTCAAAAAATATTAAAAAAATTCATCAATATAATATTATTCATTTTAAATATAAAGATAACATTATACTTACATATGTGTATTTTTTTTATCCAAAATTTTAACCATTTTATTTTTAAGATAAAAAATAATCTTTTACATATTTTTTATAATTTATGATAAATTAGCATAATTATTCAATCACTGTAACCTTTTCATGTTTTATTAACAGTTTATATAAACAAAATTATAGTGTATTTTTAAGTAAAACTTAAATTTTAGAATTTTAATATTATTTTAAAATATATATTATAAAGTAATATATTATAATTTAGGGTTAATAATATTTTTAGTCCTTGAAATATGCATGTTTTGACAATTTGGTCTTCATTGTATCAATTTTGTCAATTTAGTATTTAAAGTATTTAGTTAATGTTTAAATGACCATACACAAACAATTTATTAAGTTTTTAACATAAGTGATCACATGATACTGTCTGACGGAATGACACGTGGTCACTTCCATTAAAAAACTTAATAGACCGTCTATTTAGAAATCATTTAAACAATAATTGAATATTTCAGGGAACAAAAACCATAGATTCCAATGAAAAACTATAAATCACAATTATATATACAAATCAGATAAAGAAATAAATATAGTATGTACATTGATATTAATTATTATTAAGAAAATTAGGTAGACAAAGGGACATGACTCTTCTACTATATTAACAATGATTTATAACATCATTTATAACATAGTAATATGCTTTCCTACATTTTCCTATCATCCACTAAATGATTGTCTATCAGAAATTAAGCAGATAGCGATATCATTTATGTCTCTTAATTTTCTTTTGTTAAATCTTATTTTTGAACAAGTTCTCTCTCTCTTAGAAAACGGTACAAAGATCCTCAACCGCCTTACAAACCGATTGAAAAACATTTTAGCTTCTCTCTCTCACCATCCAGTTTGAATTTTTTTTATCTTCTCTTTCCCTCCTTCTCTCTCTCAAACACCACTTCGAAACCGGATAAACTATATATACATAATACTTTTTAATAATATTTTATATACAAAAATTATTCACGTACAAAACACGTGATACATTGTTAGTACACATACATAGACAAAGTCAACAATGCATCAAGTTGGTCCTGGGCTCACTGTAGTTTTTTGTTTAAAAAAATTTAAATAATTTATTGATATATAGTAATCATATCACATACACATTTTATTGAATCCTGAAGAATTGGTTGTGTGAAACTAAATGGCCATTGTCACTATATTTATATATACATACATGGACTAAGTCACCTATGGATAAAGTTGGTCCTTGCTCACTCTAGTTTTGTTTGTTTTTAATTTAAATAATATATTGATATACAGTAATCATATCTCATACATTTTATTGAATCCTGAAGAATTGGTTGTGTGAAACTAAATGATCATTGGATGAATAATAGGTTGGTTTTTATAGAAAAAATTATTTCAATGACATTAATATTAAAATTGCCATGTTGATACTTTCAATATATTAAAACATGTCAAGATCAATTACGAAGAACCAACCAACCTCTTTTTTCTTTTTTTTTTTTTGTTTATGTGATCCATTACATCAACTTTTTGCCCTTTTCAGGTTAAGGAGTCATGAGTATCAAATTTAATGTAAACAAGTACAAATATATCATTTTATTTCTAATCATAAGGAAAGAAAAAAACTCTTATTTAAAGAGCCCACCCAAAAACAAATTTCTGGCTCCGGCCTTATGCACACACGGTTGCAATGCACAATCGGATAATTGCAACCAGCAACAAACTTCCCAGAAATTTAATTTGAACAACTTAAAAAGCTATTTGAATCATAAAAGGTAGATAAAATTCATCTGATTTGAAATGTACAACGAAAAAAATCCAATTTTCCTCTCCTGTCTTCTCTTACAGTCAAACCCTTATGACCAGAAAACAGAATACCCCAAAAAATTTTAACACTAAGGATGAAGTCCAACAGCTTTGCCACAGAGTAGAGCATTATGTGGAATGTCATATTCATTGGCAAGACTGTGTACTGGAGTGTAGACCCTCAGATAGAATTGTTGTCCAAGGTACTGCCTTTCCCATATTGCAGACCTCAAATTCCACATCCCTTGGTTGTCCAATGAGATCAATATAGCAGTCCAAGAGTTGGGATATACCTGCAAGAAAAAATGCTTGGTTATGAATGACAAGGTAATGGAATTGTTGGAAGTACTCCCGACGTTGTTTAGAAATAGTTTTTGACACCACTTGAAGGAAGAAGATAGGAGGTCTATTGATACAAGCCCAGTATATATCTTTGAAACTCAAATCCACCAAAATACTTCGGCCTAGAGGCTGTGAGCGAAGTGAAGATACTGTTGCTTTCTTTTTTTCCCAATGTCAAATTCACACATTTATGATCATATGGTTCGATTTCACTACGAAACACTTAAAAAGTGGACAGAAAGGAAGAGCAAGGATAAGTGCGAGAACAGGAAACATAGGCAGGGCAGACTCTGTTATGACTTGATTAATTTGAGTTACCTGTGCAGTGTGTCTTGTTGTGGCGTCAACTAGATTGTAGCTTTTTCTACTGGCATTTGTCCACTGTCCGGATCCATAACTGCATTTTTTTTTTTTTTGCCAAAAATAAGGATTAGAGAGTAGAAACTAAACACATCAGAGAGGCATTAATAATAAGTATGGTATAGCAACTTACGCGACAACCCAGAAATCATAGCCATCAAGATGCCATGATTGCATGGTGTTTTCATCGTTTTGGAAGACAACTTCGACAAAGTCATGGAGGGAAGCTGGTATGACAGACGTAGCCATGGATGTGGGACCTTCGGAGGGCTCACTTTGAATGGAATCGAAACTAAAAACTCCGGGGATATTAAAGTAATCAGCAAGCTTCAGAGGGGTATCAGCGTTAATGTAAGAGACCCTGTTAACTGCATATCGTTGCTTGCCGTTGAATAGAGGTGCTGAGTTGGACAATACTATTGTCCTTGACGTCGTAATTTGCCCATAATGGAATGAACCCTGGGGGTTGGGCCTGGCTGCATTTGCTGTCAAATTCCACCTTCAAGGAAATACAAAGGGCATAAATCAGGACAGATTCTCCTCCCTCACTTCGCCATTTCACACACATGCGCACAGACACATGCTGGTATATATGCTACGATAGATTGCAGGCATAATTCTTGGGAAGTAATATGTACCTGATGGTTCTGGCTTGCAGCATAGACCCATGTATTTGGTAAGTCGGCTCAGGAGGCACAGGTCCTGAAACTGGGTTATGGGAGTTAGAGTAGTGCAACATTGCAATGGCATTGGCAACAAACTTTGTGAATCGTGTAGATGCAACAATGTAGTAGTCTTTTGGAGGTTGATCTAAGGTAACCAGGACGGACATAGATTGGCCCACATGCACATCAAGAGAATCGTAAAAGTTCTGAATGGTATGGGATCCTTCAACCTCAACCAGCTTCATTTTGTGTCCTTGGATCCTGAAGTTAAAAGAGGTTGACAAGCCCACATTCGAAACCCTGAACATGTAAGTCTTGCCTGAAAAACACAAAATGAAATGTTTTTTACAACACCATTTCAGCAGTACTGAATAACCTTTTCATAACTGGAAACATTAGATATATGTTAACAAGGTATATAGCACTCCTAGGGGTTTGAATGCTAAGAATGACCTTGATCACCCGCGAAGGAAGATTGAGTCTGGCCATTTATAAGGAAGCCATTGGGGAAGGGAAGAGATTTTCCTGAATCAAGAAGCTGCTGTAATGCCTGCAGACATTGAACATGTAATTATACATCATTCAACTAGCGGAAAAGGCTTTGAAAGATGACAAGAATGCCGCATTTTCATGCAAGAAACTTCATGCAGATTCTATATTTGAATTAGAATTCTCTAGCATCGTAAAGAAGGAAACCAACCGTCCAGCAATTATATATACAGATTCACAAGGTTTATACCGGTCAAATGTCGGGAGTAAATGGGCTTATGTTATGGTTCCAATGAGAAAGTTTTCCATTGAGGATGTTTGCAAGGTTTGTACCGGTTAACAAATGCCCGGGGTAAACGGGCTTATGTTATAGTTCCAATGAGAAGGTTTTCCGTCGAGAATGTTTGGAAGAAAAATGAAAAAACACTTGAATAAAATTAGCCTCACTAAATAACTACATTTCTCAGTGTGAAAAAATCAAGAAAGAGTGCCACATGACTTTGATCCAGTTTGTTGACCTAGGTCCAGGACTTTGTACAACTGACCAATCTTGCTAAAAACAATGAAAGCTATGGCATGTCTACAACTATGATATCATTTAGACGGGAAATATAGTGTAAAGACTGGATTTCAGTTTCGGAATTTAAATGGTCCTTACAATTTAAACAAATGCACGTGATAAACACATTCATAATAAGAACTTCAATTGTAACATAATTAGGTAAGTATTATACATGAATAACTATATACTCCTCACCTTATGACTGGTGTTGTGCCAATCACCAATAAGTAGGGAAAAATCTCCAGCAGGTAAAGGATATGGGACTGGGATGACAGACCTTGCATAGACATTAAGTGCTCCAAACCCTCCAGCAGCCTTGTGCATTAGAGTTGATGGGAAGTATGTGTAGCTTCCAATCTGATCTTTGGTTTGGAACTTGTATGTAAAGTTTGAGTTAGGAGGGATGGGGCAGTTAGTCCCTAAAACTCCATCTTGCCAAGAGTTCTTCCTCTGCTTGATTCCGTTCCTATTCGTTACAAATGAACCAATTGTTAGACACATTTTTATTCAAGATGCAGCCATGAAATGAACACAACTTGCACAAAATAAGCAGTCTATGGAGGCATCGAATGCAAAAAACTTATGACTAATGCCATTGCGGCCTAAAAATCCCTCCCAATTCGCTGATCTAATGATGTCTCAAGTAATATGATCCCAATGAAAACTGTACTATTACACCATGTCACTATCAAGATAACATATTAGAGAAAGGCCACCAAATTTCAAAAAAATTTCCAAATATCAGACGACAATTGTATATCATCGATCATGCAGAATATGTCTCTGTTTCAACTAACAGTTATAGGATGCCTCTGTTTTGCACATGTCAATAACAATCCCTTGAGCAACAATGGCATCGTTATTTATATTCTCAGCTTTAGAAAAGGAAATTTTATTATATGTATTGTTGACAAGTGCTAATAATTAAGAAAAACAAGTAAATATACAAAAATATTATGGCCATGAGATATATGAAAACAGAGTCCTATGCCCAAAACAAGTAATAGAAAAAGACTCACCACGTCAAAAGAAAAGGCTGGTCCAGCTTGTTGATGAGGTTGAGGACTATGTTGTCATTAGTAACACAATCAAGTCTAGGACCAGGAAATTGACCATTGATGAGGATTACCTAAATATTCAACTTCAAGCATTAAAACCGTTCAAATTGAGTGAAACCAAATTGGTACAACACATTATCATTGTAAATTACCAAATTGGTACAATACATTGGGCCTATTTGGAGCACTTTTTTGAATGCGAAACAAAAATTTGAAAAGTGAAATGAAAAATCAAATTAAAAAAATTCTTCAAACTGGTTGTAGTGTTTTCAAAAAAGTCAACTTTTTTTTAAAAACCTTTGGATAAATTTTATTTTTTAATTTTTTCTTGGTGCTGATAAAAGTTTTTTTATCCAAAAAAAAAATTGATGGAAAAGCCGTCCATTAAACCCGGATCCAAACCAAGTTTCTTTTTTTTTTTGAAGTCTCCAAAAACTGAAGTTTACAGCGACCTCCAAATATGCGATGCCATTATCATTGTGAATTCTTAACAAGGAAGGGAAAAAAAAACAGAAAATAGTAGAGAGTAGAAGTATAACAAAGGGTTCCCACCTGTTGAGGAACACCAAGAGGAGAAGCAGTTCCGTAAGTGACAATCCATGTAAAATATCTATAAGCGTCCTCTGCTTTCACCAGAGAAATACTCCAGGAAGCTAAAAATGCACAAATCAAATGGAGCAAAATTGTTCTTCCCATCGTTACCCAATTATGAAAACTAACACCCAATACTCTTAATACCTGCAAAATGCAAATACCCATATCAGAAATTCATAAACCTCAGCCGGGATTGTGAAATAAATAACGCAGAATTTTGAAACAGTAACTAGTAAAGCAGGGATCAAAATGCTACAGCAAATCTGAAAAACAAAGACAGAGGACGAAGCAAATGGTGAGAAAGGAGAGGAAATGTACCAGGTTTTGAGGGATTAATCTACAGAAATATGGAAGAGAATAACGAAAGAACGTTGATGAAGAACCAAAAGGGAAAGGGAAAAAATAGAAAGAATGTAGATTTATCTCTGTCAAATGCTTAATTATGGTGGCGCTGGACAATAGTCCTTATATATATACTGACAGTGGCGGATAAAGCTTCACTGGGCAGGCCTCAAATATGCCAACTTTTGTTTTCAAATCGGCGCAATTCACGCGTTTCCGCGTAATGATGAATTGTTTCAAATGCCATGAAACAACCACCGACTTAGCATAATGGTTATCCCCCCAACTGAGTCACCTCTCAAGAGAGAGGCCATGGTTAAAGTTTGCGTGTGGGAGATGGGTGTAAAGGGGTCTCTGTTATTGTTGTCATCTATGTGTTACTATTGCTGTGTCGCGTTATTGTAATTAATATCGTTTTTATGTCAATACTGTAAAAAAAATATTTTAATATTTTATAAGTGTCCATTATTAATTCAACTAATTTATTATGCATATCGTATCGTATCGAATTTGTATTATTGACACTTTTCGTGTATAACTTAGATATCTCAATCCAAATTCATTATTTGTATACATTAAAATAAGAACAATCTTAACCCAACTTAAATTGAGATGATATTTACATTAAAACATAAAATTTGTAAAACTCAACTTGAATGGTGCAATTTATAAAAAACCAAACACGAATTAAAACCCAAGAGTTGAATATAAATTTCAGCCCGACTTATGTAATCCGAATTAAAATGAGTTTTTGTATTAACAATGACGGTTGTGTTCAAATAAAATTGAAGTACCTCGTGGTTCCGCGCAACACATGGCAACTTGTCCAACCTGCCAAATTATGCCCCTTATTCCAAGTGGAATAATTTTATGTGCACCAAAAAAAAAAAAATCATTGTCAACTGTTGGATGAGTAAAACCCACTGTCATCCGATAGTTGACAATGATGCACACTCATTGTCAACCCTTTGATACACTCTCTTGGTGCACATAGCATCGGCTCTTTCGGGGGCATCCTCTGTATGCTTTTCACCGATTAAATGGGTTGTCTCCTTTGTTTTTGCAATTGCAAAGAGCAGTAGCAGTAATACTAGACTACTGACTAAAAATAAATAAATAAAAAAATCAAGCAATATTATTTTAATTTTATTATATTTTTGATCTTATTTACATACATCCAAACTTCAAATCTATTCAATACGTCACTTATCATAATTATATTATTTGGTCTTTTTTTTAGTTGGGAAGGTAAGTAATTGATATAAAACTGTTGGTGGTTGATAATTGAAGCCCTTAAATTTCGCCTTTGGTTACTGCCATCATTATCTTTCCAATGAGTAGTGTTTTTTTTTTTTTTTTAACTTTACTTTATTACTTTTTCTTTTCTTTTTTGGTAGATGGTGTTGAAAATTGGATCTGGAATTTATTGGGGATTGTTCATTGTTGTTGTGAGCTTTCAATGTGGGGATTGAGAGCCATCTGAAAAAATTCAAGCCACCAGGCTGGCACCGTGTATTCCTTTACTATTTTTGCCACTTTGGTATTTATTACATGGACGTATAATGGGGGTATTTCTGTCACTTTATAAAATGTGCCCTTTGACTGCACTAAGATTATTTCGGGGTAAAATTTATAATTGGCCTCTGAATTTTGTTTTTGATTTTAATTTGGTTATTATATTTTAATTGTCTTTAATTTAATCTCTCAATTATCAATTTTATTTTAATTTCTATCATTTTTTTTTGCTGTTAAAAAAAAATATATGGAGTAAAGGAGAGCGCTCAGAGACTAACATGATAGATTCTCACTGATAAGATCATGAGAACTCTGATCGCACCCGTTACTCTTTTCAGGAGTGAACTTAACTAGACTAACATAGCGGTCAACAACCGAACTCTAATATAGACTCAAACATCTAATCTCAGAGTATGGGCTAGTATATCACTGGACCACCCCTATTCAACTATAATTTCCATCGTCGATCCAATGGTGGAAAATTCAGAGACTTAATTGAAAAAAATTTGCTAAATTGAGATAATTAAAAGTTCAAAAACGAAATTAAAATCACAGACAAAATTCAGAAAACAATTATGATTTTTACCCATTTTTTTCGGTTAGCATTAGCAATTCTTAACACAAACCACTAAAAATATAAGAAATTAACATGAAATTATAAAATATGAATATATTTTTAATAAGTTTTGGTCAAATTTTGACAAATTGATTGATTTTATACGAGTCAAATAATACATAAATATTAATTATTAGGATATAATTGAACAAATTTTAACAAGATGCAAAATCAGATTTTTATTAGTAATAGATTTACATATCTTCTATTCTATCAGTGAATCTCACTTAGATTGAGAAAATCTCATATCATTTTGCACCCTTGGGATTTTTCTCAGTTTCAAAGTACACAATATAAATTCAGGTGAGAGTTACCATATTCAAATGACTCCACGTCAATAAAAATTAGGGGTCTCAATCATATTGTGTATTGTTATTTCCGATCATGTTATTTTTATATCGTGTTATTTTGGATATGTATCGAGTTCGTGTCAATAAAAAATTATTTAATTCTACAATAACTCAAATAATACTATTTAAAAATTATAAAAGTATAAAATAATTATTTTATGTCTACAAGAATTATTAAATACTTATTTTTTATATAAAATACTTATTTTTTATATAATACTTGTTAATCGTGTTATTCGTGTCTAACTTTAATTTAACTCATTTATTATTCATGTCATTTTCGAGTTTGTGGTGGGTCAAGTCCGTGTAAATAGATAAAATTGACACCTCTAATAAAAATGGATGATTAAAAATTGAGAAATATAGTATTAGAGAAGATTCGAACCTAAAGATCACTTGCAATTAGTTGCAACCCTAGACCCATTGTTCCTCTAGATTGGTTTTGTTTTTTTTTTTTTTTATTTTTGTCCGTTGGATTTTCTAATATTGCCAGTTCGAAATTTTCTTTAAATGTTTTGATATAGCAGCAATATTTGCAATTTTTCCTTCATGGAATACTAATTTGGGAGAATTTCATTTTATACCATAAAAGATTTAAGATTTTTCACTTTGTACTTTAAAGATTAAAATTTTTATATTACATTCTTAATGTATTAAAAGTGTTGTAATATGACACTTCCGTCAATTTTTGTTGCTTATTTTGTAAATAATCACCCCATTAACCTTGACAGGATGAGTAATGAAAATGTTACATTATAATACTTTTAATACATTAAGATTATAATATAAAAAATTTAATTTTTGAAAGTGTAAAATAAAATCAAAGTGAAATTCGTCCTACTTCTTTCATGTTTCCAGTATTGGCTCCGACATCCTGCCCTTTTACGCTTTTTAATTGTTTGCAGACAGTTTGAGCACACTATAGAGAGAGAGAGAGAGAGAGAGAGAGAGAGAGAGAGAGAGGTAAAGGAGTTAGAAACATTTAATCATGTGACTTCTCAACATTTAGTCACTCTTTTTCTCTAAGAATATGAAAAGAAAGAGGGGGAGGGGCAAAGTCAAGCCCAAAGAACAAAAAAAAAAGGGTTGCACAAGATGCTAGGGAAATGTCAAAAAGATCGGTAAAGTTGAGAAGCAGAGAGAGAGAGGCTAAAGATTACCTTAAATTTTTTCTAGTTACAGTGTTCAGTCTCAAAATTTAAGAAAGTAGTCAGTACAAGTCTGAACACCTTATAACAAAAAAAAAAATTAATATTGACCTTAATATGAGATTAAGTCAGACCACTCCCTCACTAAAAAGATGAGTTAGTAAGAAATATATGGTCACTAATATTTTATACGAATGAGATGTTGCTTACAGCTATCATTTTCTCACCAACCGCAATACAGTTACTTTAATTAAATCGATCCTAAAACCAGTTCCCATTCCAAAAAACAAAGAGGTTTAAATTAGGGTTAATTATAAATTACAGTTCGAAAGATGGTTCGAATCTCAATTTACATCCCTAAAAATCAAAAATTTTAATTTTCACCTTCAAAGATAGAAATTTGTATCAATGTGCACCCCCAAAGATCAAAAATCTCAATTTACACCCTCAAAGATAGAATTTACATCAATGTGCATTCCCAAAGATAAAAAATCTCAATTTACACCCTCAAATATAAAAATTTGTATCAATGTAAAGCTAAAACTAACCACCGTTAGTTTACTGCGTAAAACTAAATTGATAAATTATACCTAGATCCCCTCATATTTGTCACTTAATCATTTAGACCCCTTCATATTTAGAATATTACTCATACATCTTATGTTTACGTGTAACACGTAACCCTTTTTCGTTGATATCTGTTAATATAACCGTTAAAAAATATAATTTTATCCTAATAAAAAATTATAATTTTATATTACCCTTTATTTTGTGCATCTGATATATTCTAAAGTTCAAAATCAAGTTTATCATTTGAATGTCCAATAGAATGTAGGTATTTATATAATATTTTTTATATTCAATGCAATTATCACTTAAATAGAATTATTTAAATAACCAACTGGGGGGACATTTAGTCATATTTGGATTCTCAATAGATGTTGGTGTAATATTTCAAATCTGAAGGGTATAAGTGATTAAATGACAAGCATGAAGGAGTTTAGGAGTAATTTATCCATTTATTAGGATAAAAATAATATTTTTTAATGATTATATTAACATATATCGACGAAAAAATGTTACGTGTTACACGTGCACAAACGTCATGAGATGTAAGAGTAATATTCTAAATGTGAAGGGGTCTAAATGACTAAGTTACAAGTATGAGATGATCTAGGTATAATTTATCAATTTAGTTTTAGGTGCACATTGATACAAATTTTTATTTTTGAGGGTGTAAATTGAGATTTTTGATCTTTGGGGTGTACGTTGATACAAATTTCTTTCTTTGAATGTGCAAATTGAGATTTTAATCTTTGGGGGTACACATTGATATAAATTTTTATCTTTGAGGGTGTAAATTGAAATTAGAACAATCTTTCGGGATGCAATTTATAATTAATCTTTTAAATTATACTAAATAACTCGTGTTTGAAGGTACGGTATAATGTAAATGATTTTGAAATAGATGTTGGTGGTCATTAGATGAATCTATTTGAATATATTTATTGAAGTTTATATTATTTATATATTATTAATTTTCAACTAAAATTAGTGTGGGTGTACTTAGCAATTTGGTGTACGAGATCATAAACCTTTATTCCAATTTCTAGAAGGGGAGATTGTGACAGTGAAAGGTAATTCGAGATGCAAAATATATATGATTACATGATGAATGTTACACCAAATGCTTTAAATTATGAGAATGTTGTTCTCCGGGCCTCCTAGATTCATCTTTGAAGAGTAAGAAATGAAAGAGAAAAGAAAAAGGACGGAAAATGTTGCTGCTAATCATGGGCGCCCACGTGACATGTTGGTGGTTACGGTATGGATTTTTTCACTTTGATCCATGTGGGCACCACACGTTTTGACTCTCCGCGTGAAGCACCGCTTTGATTAGTTGAAAGACGAGCATCATACCAACGAGTTGCTGGTCTAATAACAAAACAAATTTGGTTTTTCTTAACTTCGCTTTTGTGGGAATTTTTTATTTATAAATAGTTGTGTGGTACTGAGGGACGAATATGTAGAGTGAACTATCTACATATCTATTTTTTTTTTTTATCAAAAAGAAAGAGAAGCATGATTGTTTTTAATATAGTATTTTTAAATTTTAATGAAAATATATTATGAAAAATACTAAATAAGTAGTATGCACTCTTAGATGAATGAGTTAGGTTGAAAAAGTTTATAGGAGGGCCACTAATCTAAAAATTTCAGATTCTATTTGATGTCCCTATAATAAACAAAAGTATATTATCCTCAAACTTATGGGCTGTTTTGCAAATTTGAATCTTTTTAGAGTACTGTTGGGCTACCGTACAAAGCCAATCGGGCTATCCTGTTGGGCGTTAAATCGGGTAAACGCATCGTACTGCCAAGTCCT